GGCGTCGCCGTATCGGGGTCGACGATGAAAGCGCCTTTGACATTAATTCTGACACTGCCAGGGCGGATGATGGTGCTGTCTATTTCATCGGTCGACGTCATGGTACGGCGGCGCTTGTGGTCTAAAGGATGCGCCGGAGCTTGGAGTTCTTGCGCAATTGCATCTTCGTGTTCCGAGGCGGGAGTCATTGTGTGATTATGTCTCTCGTGCCACGCTCGATTGACTTTCGAGAGGATGGAGGGGGTAATTAGATAGTGGAGATGGTTCGAGTTGAAGCGCTGGGGAGTAGATTGCCAATACCCACGTAGAGTTATTGCATAGCCTGCTTTATGAGGATATAATAGGGGGACGGCAACAGATTTGAACGTGAATTCGAATTCGAATTATGAAATGGGGAGAACAGGGGAGATAGATGGGTAAGGAGGTCAGGGCTACCTTAACATATAATAAACCACTATGTATGGAGGGGCTCTAATAATCGGATGGGGAGACTTGGATATTACAATGGGGTTGACCCTTTATCGATAGCGGTCGTTCATCATTTTAGTTCTCCAAAAGCCGGTGGGCCGAGGCTCCGGATTGCCTGGGGAAAGCTCCCCAGAAAATACGGATACAGGGTGTCAAAATGTACGTATTCGCTCAACAAAGATATATGCGAAATTGGCTCCTTTGCCCCGATCTCTCGCCAATTGGACTCTGTTGAGAGGATCTACAATTAAAGGACATCGCATTGGCCTCTTAGGTGCATTCTTATTCGGAGATTTTCCTTTTCTGCTTACGGTGAGACGTAATGCAAGTCTTCTTATGGAGTACTCCCGCATTATAAAGCATGAGTTTGACAGTCCCGATGGCCCGGCTGCGGAGGGGTCATGACTTGATGCCGAGCTTGGCTACCTAAGTTGCCGTCGGCTTTAGTAGACGGGATGGAGCGGCATTCAAGAACACAGTCTACAAAAGCGATCGTATTTCATATGTTATGAAACATAGTGTCAATTATAAGCAATATCGATACTGTTTTAGACAACAATGCCCGCAGCAAGATATACTCGAGAATCTCCTAGACACTCCCCTCTAACGCCCACATCCACAAACAAAGGTAGGGTATCCGTAGCTCAGATCATGGCAAAGACCATTACAAGAAAATCCAAAGGAAGCTATTAAAACAGTGCCACGAGGTAGTATAGTCGTTTCGCCATGGCAAGAAAAGAACGAGGCCCTCTGAGCGATCAAAAGAAATGGCCTCCTGGAACAGCAACAAAGATAGCGGTGATGATGCCGCCCAGGAGAACTGAAGCGAGCATTGCTTGGACGAATATTGTGTCTTGAATCTGTCGCAATGCTGGCTCCTGAATCCAGACCTCGCGGTCGAACACTTTGCGGACCACATTGCGCTTTTCGTACTTGACGACCCAGGGTTCATCCTCGTAGCTGTTTTTAGATCCGAACGAGTCGAAGCTCTGCTTCTGCGCATCTTCCATGTTCTCGCTGTCCACAAACAGTTCCCACGGCCTGACATGTCGGTGATGCATTCCATGCAGAACAACACACATGCCCTTGTAGGCCGCAACAAGTGTGCTTATGCCAAGAACAAGACCTATGGCTGCCAGTGCCCGGTATCCTCGGCCAGAGTTGCTCAGGGTGAGAACGAGCCCAGCGATGATGCCTGCGGCAATTAGCCCGACGCCCAGCGATCGAGCGAAGAACACGCGGGCAGGGTTTCCATTGCAGATAGACCATCGGATGAAGTTGGGATGAGCTTGGTGCCGAAGGCTTGAATCAACAGTCTTGAAGACGCTTCGAAAAGCGCTAGGATGAGTTGTCTTGGAGAGCGCTACAATGACCGCCTTCTGTTCAGAAGAGGATAGGTTCAGTTGCCGAGGTGCACCTTCCATGATATATGTTGAGATCACCCTGTTGATCTCTTCTCGAAATGGCTGGATCGTGACTGATAAGGGGTTAGCGATTCAGATGTCGTTCCAGGAGCTGTAGAATTGACTTACAAGGCTGTTGCGCTCCCACCATATTGAAGGCGTCAGATGCTTGGCTCTGATGACTCATTGCATTGAGTGAGTTCATTGTGCAAGACGCTGTGTAAATCGAGGAATCGTCCCCTTTGCTGCTCTGAGGAGGTGTTGCAAAAGGGTCAACAGCACTCATGTTACGATCCTGGCTGCCAGCCTTCTTCTCAAAGTCGCTACCTTTAAAGATAGCCGCTGCCTCAGGCTCTTTTCGCATCTTATCTGACTGCTCCTTTCTAATCTTGATGACAGCTTCGTCCTGCATAGCCCTAGTCCACTCGGGAGCGAGCTTGACATCTGTTGTTGGATTCGCATTAAAGCGCTTCTCATAGTCCTGGAACCAGAGATAGAACTGGAGGTTTTCGGCAGCATGCTCCACATAGATAAGGTAGGTCATGAAATCACGGAGAGTCATGGGCTGAATGTCCAGTTAGTACGCTGATGAGTGGTAAACCCGAGGAAAGTGCTTTTACTAACAGGACATGTGCCACCACCATTGATCCTGTCAAAGGACAGTGAGTCTGGTATTCCAAGGGAGGAACGAGAAGAGCTGGAATTATCCGTAGCATCGGATTTTTCCACGTCGGACAGCGAGTCGCTGCTTGTACTGTTACGGAGTGATTGACGGCTTACATACTTTGGGCGTGTGTAAGAGAGCGAAAGAAGACCCATGCTGAAGAAGATAAGGTGAAAACTAGTATGAGATTCAATGATTGATGAGAAGGGGAAAATAGGACTTGATGACTGCAAATGGCCTATAGATCACACGGCTCGGTCAGAGGCGAGGGGACAGTGTGTGATTTAAATAACTTCATGAGCGAGAATGACATCCTAGCGTAGAAGAAGCGTCTTGGTCGTTATGGATAGCCTGTGGCGGGACTAATAAGAAGCAAACGCAAAAGTGACAAATTGTCCAGGGAGACCAGGAAATCGGGGCACCACGATACCCAAATACGTTAGATTTGTAGACAAGCCTTTTTAACGTCCGAGTTGGCCTGCCAGTAAGAAAAGCCCAGAGCGTCCTGTAAGGGGAAGCATAACTTGGCGATCCTAGAAAGCCACCGGCAATGAACTTTGCGCCCATAAACTTAATCCTCGTGTGGGATGGCCATAGCCTGCGAGTTCTGTGGCCTTTCCCAGGAACACGGACGGTAAGCACCACAACCGCTGGGTGGGAAATCGGGGAAGATCGTAGGCGGCTGAATGGGTTGCACAACGTCTTCGCGTCTTCGTCTTGTTCAGCTCACCCACCTTTCGCACTGACCTTCAACTTATCGATGTACCATCGCACCAATTTGTTTGGCTGAAACGTGGTTGTCTGCCTACATTGTAGGTATGATCGCGAGAGTCGCATAAAGAGCTAATTAAAAAGGCTCATCCAGCTGAAGTTTGCTTCTTGGCAGGTAGTCATGTAAGCCCATACTGGAGATCGGATGAACTTCCGAAGCAAGGATGAGCCTTGCATCTGATTTTCGGTTAGTAGATCTTAGTGGGCGCCTGGACTTCATCCATGATCGAGAAGACTTTACTGGCGGCGGAGGATCAGGGCCAAAACGACATGGTCGACAGTCTGAAGTTACAACTAGGATAGGTGTGGCTTCGCACAAATACTAGGCTTAGGCCCGCCCAGATTACTGGGAGAAGAAGACGATTGTTCTCGGCTTGTATCCTTCTCAGGTAAGGTAAGTTAGGTAACCATGCCTTTGGCCGCCAGGATGAGCCTAGGGTGAGCCACGGGTATCCTTGCCGCCTCTCTGATCTCAGAAGTGAGGAATGTGTAACTGAAGTCTCTTGCTTGCGGCTGGCGCTAGATTCGTGATCGTCAGGCAACCTGTGAAAACGGTCCATGCCATTGACATCGACATCGAGGACTGATACCTATTTGGTTTGGTGAAGCACATCTGAGCAGGAGTACGGAGTAGCTTGGACAAGGTCAAGCTTGGGCTAGTCCTGAGCTAACCAGAGCCAACAGAACTGGAGGATGTAGGTAGCTTTAGTGGCCCACTTACGAGAGACTCGCAAAGAAATTTGACAAGTCAATTCCAATTGCTAGGCCTTGCTCCAGTGGAAGATCGCTGCTAAATGACGGACAGATACCTGCCCTGTGCTGTCTACTAAGGTTGTGTAGTGTCCCGCCCCCTGCCCCTGGACCTGGACCTTGTCGCCGAGTCTTCGGTAATCTGGGCAAACATCACCCAATCGAGCGTTTCTCCGAGACAGCAGCAATTAATTATTCCATGCATGCGAGAACAATGTCTTGGAATGTAATGAGACATGCTTCTTGCTGAAGACTCCGGCCTTTTCGTTCAATCAAAACTCAAGTCCATTAATTGTTTTTCTAAATCACGCCTCGTTTGAAGACGTCCAGTTTGCAACAAGCTCATCTTCGTAATTGACAACTGCGAATTCATCCCTTGCTGTAATAATGACGTACAGAAAACAGGGTATTGATAATGGAGGGTGCTTTGGGCCAACTGTGGCTGGCTCAGATTGAGGTGCGTGCATGGATGGGACACTTGCCAACCCTTGTCCTACCTAGCGGAAGTGATAAGTCCATGCAATTGCTTTTCTCATTCATGACTCTATTCCTGAAGGAGAATCATATGCTGTACAGACTGCATAGGCAGTCTCACATTGCTCAGGTGGCATTTGCCCTACCTTACCAACCCTGCATGGTGCCATATTCACACGGGAAAGAAGCTGTTTGCAGCTCCAGCTGAACCATTTGACGCGTGTTGTTTGGATTACACATTATGCATGATCCTCTCCAAGCTGACATTATTGGGAAACACTGGAATAACTACTGGCAATGGGGTCTCAAGTGAATGCGATTCAAATGTTGTTTGCTCCTGTTTCATGTGGAGTACATTAATAAGTCAGGATGCTTTCCTCAGCAGCAATACCTACCCCAGCCACTGAAATTTATGAACACAAGAAATTCAACGACTAATAAATGTAGGAATCGTGGAACCAATTCCCGAGCTATCCATAATATGCATCATGAGCCTTTGTCATCTCTTCAGAGAGCCCTCCTTGTTGGGCATGTTCTCCCCTCAAGTGTTGTCGGCCCTCCCAAAACCTCTCCCTATCCCCCAGTATTTCATTTGCCCATGCCTTTCCAGCCCCAGTTCGTAACTTTCGGGCAACTCCCATGAACTCACCCAGATCTTTTTCATTCTTGCTCTCCCTTTCGTACTCAACTGCTTGTAGAAGGAGCTCGATTTTGTCAATGTCCTGGGCAAACTGAGCCTCTGGGGTTTCACCAGCTTCGAATTCATGCCAGAGCTTTTCAATCTCAGCAGTGTATGGTCCAGACCATCGATTGGCAATGTACGCGATGGTCGAGGCCTCTCTTCTACCCTTTTCAGTCCTAGAGACGCCGCTGAAAGGGGTAATATCTCCCACGACAGATTCCGCAATGTCGTGAACAAGGCACATCTTCATGCACTTGGCTTGGTCAAGTTCTTGTGGTGCAAACATTGCTACCATTCCCATTCGATAAGAATGATCTGCAACCGACTCGGGACTGGGTACTTGTGAGCCCATCCGTAAAAGATACTCAGAAATAGCGTACAACCTACTTAATTCCATGTCTCTTCCAACCTTCACGCTTTGTTGCCTTGAGAAGGCCAAGAAGATGGAAAAAGGAGATCGGTGAATCTGATACATGAACTAGATCATTGTGACTCAAGGCTTTCTCAACCGTCCATGATTCGCCATTCTCTGAACATTGGTCGTCAGCACTACTTTATGAGGCATGTGGAAAGCATCTATATACCTGAGCTGGCGATTGACTTCTCTGAGCTTTCTCTAGACATTTTTTTAGTGTTTGTTGGTATTTAAGGCTTGTTTCTAGCTGGAAGAAGCCAAATATCGACGTTGTTGGTTCCTGCAAGTCGTGCTCCCCCGCTCCGGGACGCTTCGGTCCGTGTGCCAATCAATGTTTCAAACCGGGTAAGCATCTTATCACGATATTGGCCAGTAATTGCCAGTGAACAGTGCATACTTCTCATTCGATGGGGATGAGCGGCAAAGGGAAGTGATCTGATGATGGCAGATTTCCATGACTGATGCAACTTAGTGCAGATAACGTTATCTCGTCACTGTTCCACATATTGATCTGTATCCTATGCTGGTCAACGCAATATCTCAAGAGCCTTATGTGCAATCCGGTGATGTTCTACGTAGCCAATGGAAGAATGAAACAAATTAGACCGAGGTTGGTGCCTTCATAAGTTATCCATTTGACTCAGAGGATCAAAGGTAATAAGAACAAGTGTAAGCTTAGGTCCAGGGTAGGAGGCAACACCAACACCTGAGGTAGGTAGGTTTACAAACCCGTTCACAGCCGTTATGGTAGCCGTTCGGGATATCTTGAGATTTAAACTTTAGAATTATGTCGACTTACAGGTTTGTTGACAATGGAGTCAAGGATATGCGCCTTGTAATATCATGCGTCTTGTAATATGTCAGGGTTGTTCTTCATCGACTGTCGTGGTTCTGTTCTGGAAATGACCCAGCGGCTGCTGTCAACCCACTGAACTTTTCCGTCAGCCAAAGCAACAGCACTCATGAGATACTGGCTTGATACAATAGTTTGGCAAGAAGCTTATTCCTAGGTATTATGCTATGTGTGGCTCTGTGCCTCCCTAACGATATATATGGACTGGGATGCTTGATATATTTGTGTAAAGTATACATAGTCGTTCATGGAATATTCGTAGAAAACCCTATACACGGCTCACATCAAGAGAGACTGCGGATTTCTCCACCAGGAATCAACTGATGCCGTGGCTACGAAGTTGACGGTCTCGCACATAGCTACACTTCAGTGACACCGCTATAATCCCTGGATACGAATCTCAGCCACACCGAGATTCTCATGGTTTGGCAGTTGGGTGACTTTATTGGTGACACAAAAGCAACTATTGCGCAATACAATGGGAAGTACACGCTTGACTCAACATTATCATCAGTAATCATCGTATCGTTCAAACTCATCACTGCATTGTGGCCATTTGGAATCATGATATGCAACATCTGAACGTTCTGTAAATCATCCTCTTCCCGATCTTGGTAATCTTATCAGATTATAAGGCCGGCCTCTCGCTCGCCGAAGCTGGCGCCGAGCCTTATTAGAACATCATCGTGAAAGTGGACAACTGAAGGATGCGTCATGGTTGGAGAACTGAACATGTATTGGGGACTTCATATTATTAATAGAGCACCGACTTTTTTGACATGATTCCAAATGGATCCTGGGAAAAACCCAGTCTCCATCATCAAGGTGCTGCGTATCTCAATACCATTGCGGCTTGAGTGGCCGATAGCGGTTCCACCATGGCCGCGTCGACCGCGCCGACCGCTCTCCGAGGATCCCCACAGGTCTTCACTGACCTCATCAGGACCCTCTTTTCCGAAAGATTGAGAAGCGGCGGGGTAGCTAGCGAGTCGTAGACTGCCTAAGGGAAAGAGTGGCACTGTCTACATGCGGAAGGCAGGGACGATATAAACTTCTGCAGATGCCCTTAAAGTTGTGATTTAGTCTCTCTTCCTCACACTTCGATACACATCTTCTTCTGCTCTTACTCAACTTACAATCCCATACACAGAAGTTTACCTACTAGATAAAGTCAACATGTCTGAGCTCAAGCCTGGTGATAACTTCCCAGAGGGTGTCTGGTTCAGCTATATCCCTCCCTCGCCTGAAACCTCTGAGTTTACTACTTGTGGTACACCTGTCCCTTTCAACGCCAGCCAAGGTACGTTATTTCACATCCAAGTCTAGGTCGTCTAGAGTACGGGCATACTGACTTCACTTAACACAGAATTCAAGAACAAGAAGGTTGTTCTTGTCTCTATCCCAGGTGCTTTCACACCTACTTGCTCCGGCTCTCACATTCCTTCCTACTTGGAACACGTCGACAAGATCAAGGCCAAGGGCGTTGATCAGGTCATTGTCATCGCTGTCAATGACCCCTTTGTCATGAGCGGCTGGGCCAAGGCCAACGGCATTACCGACGACAAGATCGTGAGTTTCTCTTTTATTCAATGAGCCAGCGTCACATGATTAACTTGACCAGCTCTTCATGTCCGACAAGGACGCTAAGTTCTCCCAAACTATCGGCTGGAATATCGGTGAGCGAACTGGACGCTTTGCGATTATCGTCGACCAAGGCAAGGTCGTGTACGCTGCGAGGGACGAGGAGCCTGGAAGCATCGAGAAGTCTGGTGCCCTAGGCGTCCTGGCCCAGCTGTAATTGAAGTTGCATTGCAATACACAAAAGGGATAGAATATAGACATGAAGAATAAAGGGTCAAGATAGATCGACGCGTGCTCAATTCGAAGCATATGAAAATCATCTCGATCTGAAACGTCATTTTTTGTGAAGCCTGCTCTCGTATCATAAGGCATTTTGTCGTTAAATCCACCAAAACATGTCGCCAGCAATCGGATCGAAGCCATGGCATGTTTACCTAGGACCATGCAATCGTACAGCCCGTGTTCACCACGGCATAAAAAGATGCAGCTTTGTGTTTGACCATTTTGCATTGCTCAGCTATCAATGCACCCTATTGGCAATCCATGCACCCGAGATTGTAGAAGAACCGGCCGGATAAAGACACAAGAACCACGGACTCCACTCTTCCATTTTCTTCCTCCCTCAAAGTCCATTCCTAACTTAACGGCTCTTGGCCTGAACCTTAGGAGCAGAGCCCTTGGCACCCTGCTTGCTGACTTGTCGGACAGCCTGGCCCTTGGAGGCCAGGGCAGCGAGCTTAGCCTTCTCGGACTTCTTGGCAGCAGCATCGGCCTGCTTCTTCTCCTTGCTCTCCTTGATGGCCTGGGCTCGGGCAGCGGAACGGGCCTCGGGTCGGATGTTGCGCTTCTCCTTGATCACGTCGAGAGAAGCACCAACGATGCCTCGCTGAGACTTGACGGTGCGGCGAGTTCGCTTCTTGGCAACCTCCTGTAGAACATGTCAGCTCCGTTGAATGGTGGTAATTAGCAGAACACCAGCAGCGTTGATAGCCGCTATGAGCGCTACTAAAGTTTGGTGGATTCGTACCTCAGAGATACCCTTGCGGTGCTGTCGGCGGTAGAGGACGGTCCATGCGATACGGCGGGGGTTCTTCCTTTGCAGGAAGAGAGACTCCGACTTGCCGTTCTGGAATCGGAAGATCTTGCTGTCGCCACGGACGTAGAGCTTACCCTGTGAAGCGATATCCGTTAGCCTTTTGATGTCCTGATTCAAATAACACCGAGTGCTCGTCCTGCGATCCGTCATCGTCGTCATCACCCTCAAGCGACTAGGGAGGGAGGTTCGCATTTCGATAATCGACCGGATCGCATCAAGGGGACGGATGGGAATAATGGCTGAAGGAGCGTACCTTGCCAGGGTAAATTCTCGCGCCGGAGAAGGTGTCCTCGTAGGTTCGCATCTTGTCGCTGGTTGTGCTTTGAAGGCGACAAGGTGTTGTGTGGTTGACCGTGGATTGGCGATGGCAAATGGAAGGTTGAAATTCGAATATACGAATGTGGGCACTTAGGGCAAGAGGTTTACGGTCGCTCCTTCCCAGGCCCAGCTTTTAGAGCCATCACGTGCGAGCGCACCTACCCGCTTCTACCGAGGATTCTCCGGCAGGTTATCATGGAACTTCATCATACCTACTGATATTAACACGACAAAAAGACCTAAGTTTTCAGTCTTAGCCTGTGGATTTTGGATCAGCCTTTTGGAAAGATTGGATATGGCTAGATGACGTCCCAGGCGGATCTGGTGGCTCAAGCAGTACTGCAACAATTCTACAAATTACCGTCGAAGCGAAAACCTGCTGTTCGTGACAATGGCGTTCATGAATGGGTTCCGCTGAGTGGCATCGTTGCTGAGAAAGATGGCATTCTAACATGTCTAGCCCTAGCGTAAGCGCATCCGATTTCTGTTTTTTTCTCTGCATTTCCTAAAATTTCTTGTCGTAGAACTGGCATGAAATGCCTACCAGCGTCAAAAATATCACAATCCAATGGTGTGGGCATCCATGACTGGCATGCGGAAGTCCTAGCTATACGAACTTTCAACCGTTTCTTGCTTGATGAATGCGAGAATATTCTTGATAAAGATGACAAGTCGAGTATCCTCCAGATGAAGACGAGCGCTTCAACTCTGAATGACAACCCTTTGCAATCGTTCGAGATCAAAGACAGCGTCAAGCTGCACATGTACTGCTCAGAAGCACCATGTAAGTAATTTCGAAAGAAAACACTACTTTTACTGAACAAGCAGGCGGTGATGCTAGTATGGAACTCACAATGGCTTCTCAAGAAGACGATTCAGCATGGGAAACTCCCACTCCTGTAAATGCAAAGCCTGGAGGTGATGCACAAATCTCTTTACTAGGAAGGGCTTGCTTTTCTAGAACTGGAATTGTTCGACGAAAACCTGCTCGAGGAGATGCGCCCCCAACATTATCCAAGTCCTGCTCTGATAAACTTGCGTTGAAACAATGCGCTTCACTTCTCTCAGCCATCACATCCATATTCGTCGATCCTACCAATGCATACATTAGTAGCATCGTCTTGCCAAGATCCCAATACTCTGATCTTGCATGTCGACGCGCCTTTTCAGCAGAAGGCAGGATGAACCTCGTCGCTGGCAAAAAGTGGCTGGGAGGCTATTCGTTTAGGGGGTTCTCAGTTGCAACGACGGACCAGGAATTCGAATTTTCGAAACGTTCTGTGCAGATTAGGGCATGTAAGATTTCGGCGAGCAATCTAGCAGCAACATGGTCACGATCAGGTTTCGAAGAGAACCTCATTGGGGGAGTTATTCAAGGCCGGAAGGCTTTCAAGACAGACGGAGCAAGTCGAGTTTCCAGGCGTTGTATGTGGGAAGCAGCAAACGATCTCGCTAGTAGGATAGGCGGCGCTTCCTCTTATACAGCAATTTGTCCTGGTGGTAAGACGTATCACTACTTGAAACAAGGACAGTTGATGGCTCACCGACGGCAAGTTAAGGACGACGCCCGTGAGATGGCACTGTCAGGGTGGATCAGAAACGACGGAGGCTCAGATTTCCAACTAGAAAAACGTAGCAATCATTGACATCATTAGAGATTGGTATTTCTCCCGATGTAAGTCGTATTTTGTTTGTTCGTACAGATCAATCAACCTCAGCGAGCATAAGGTCGCCATTCCACCATGACATTCCCGAGCTGTGACCTTTTGCGTACCCGTACCTGCTCCTCTGCTACTCAACATAGAGAGCAGGGGAGTGACTGCTACGACTGCCCAATACCAGGGGGAAACATAAAACCCGCCTCGTAGGAGAAACTAGCCAGCCTCTTGGCCGAACAGACCTACGATTTTACTGCCCCTTCGCCCTTGACTGTGTAGAGAAAGTTTACTCGACCTTGGGCTCGTTCTCGAAGTTCTCACCCTCGACCAGGTCGGGGATCTCGTCATCGTCCTCGCCCTTCTCCTTCTGGAGGTTCTGGTAGCTCTCGGCGAGCTTGCGCAGAGAAGCAAGGGAGTCAGGGCCGAGCTGGTTAAGGATACCGGGGACAAGCTCGGTGAGCTCCTTGTCCTCACCGTTACCATAGATGGCAAAGGTGTTGGAAGGAACAGCAGCGTGAACTGTTGAAGTGGAAAGAATGTCAATATGTGCCGAGCCCCACGAAACATGCCAGTGTATGATGACTAACCCTTGGGAGCAGCGAAGTGAATGACGTTTCCGTCCTGCTTGAACATGTTGACCTCCTCAATAGCCTGGATGGGCTGAGTGTTCAGCTTCTTAAGGGCGAGCTGAAGCTTCTTGTCGTCGGCGCCGGAGCGGGCGGGCGCACGCTTGACCTTTCGTCGGGGGGTACCCTTTCCACTGAGTCGATCCGTTAGTAACAACAACTAATGGTGACAGCCTAAAAGCATCGTAATGCGAAGACATACCCTGGATGACAGATCAGTTTGCTGTTCTCACCTCGAACTTAAATCTTAAAATTGCGCAAAAGTCACGTACCAGTTCGGGCGCTCAGGCCGAGCTTCTTGAGACGTTCTTGGACTTCGGCGGACGACATGATGGGCGAAATTCGATTGCGGGGGATCGGGGGACTCGATCGAAACTGGGACAAAACTCGTCAGTCGGGGGGGGTTTCGGACGGGAAAAGTCAATTGTTGGAAGGAATTTTGCTCAGAAATTCGTGTATGCGTGGGTTCAGCAACGTACAGTAAGTTAGGCTTGGGTAACTAGCTGTTTGTCGCCGTCGGCTTCGAATCGGTGGTGATAAGTCAAAGTAGATTTTGTGCGTTTTTCGCCTGTGGAACTACCTTTCGCCGATAATTTTGAGGGGCTCTGGTGCTCCGCCCTTCACTGGGACCACATTCATCGCCCGTGACGTTATAGCCGCCTCCCGCCAGGCTCGTGGGGTAAATGAAGAAAACCGCACGCACATGGAAGCCATGGCATTTGATATCGAGCTCTTGAGATGCTCTATTCAGTCACGTCCTGTAATAGATTGTCTGCGACGAAAGCATGAACTGTTCAATTGCATCTAAGCGAGGGCTCTGTCGGGTAAAGTTACGGCTACCTACTCGGTGCGATCACATTGTTTTAGCCCTTCCTCAACTGTTTCCAGAAAATTGATGATTCGGATACCTAGCCACTCGATGGAGATATCGATGGTCGTGCAGGGGCAGTTTAGGCAATGAAAGATGATTTCATCTTGGTTTTCGAATGAAAGCAGTTGAATATTCATTCCAAAAACTCCGAATAATTAACTCAACCCTGCAAGGTATTTCCTATGATACGCTGTTGTACATGAGCCGTCCTTCACCACACCATATGATCTTACAAGCATAAAGGGCATTCAGTTTTAGATCCCATCGGCGGCTCTATTTTGCGTCAAGGCCTGCCTCTCTCCTCATCTCTTCTCGTCGAGTGTCTGCGTCCTTCTGAGATGCTTTCGCAGCGGCGGCGGCGGCTTTGCGCTTTCGCTCCTCTTCCTCTTTCACAACAATCCAGACTAGCTCGGGTTAGCAATTGATACTTCGCGGACGAAACAAACACACTTGGTTTATCCGACTTGGAGTATTCCTTCAGTCGAGTCACAAAGTCGTCAAATTCTTGTTGTCGCTCCTCGCGATTCTCCAAACTCTTCTTCCGCAACTCGGGGTTGTATCTCGATCGAAGCTCTTCCTCAGTAGGAGTTAACCACATTGTAAATGCCGGTCCGCCGACTGCGACAGCAGCGCCACTGCAATATGCATCAGCTTGGTCTTTTACTGACTCTGATAATGGCAAAGACTTACCCCATCAGGACTTTGGTCCAGAACCACCATCTTGAAGATGGTTGTTTGGCAGCCATTATGAGAAAGGGGGAGAACACGAGTACGGAATTTGAAGACGGGAAAGGTAACAAGAAATTGGAGTTGAATCTGATTTGGCATCAATTCTTCCAATGATGATTTGCACGATTCTGCATCCGTCATTGATTTGGCAGTATGCCCTTATTGGTAGTAGTCCAATCGGGAAAGCGGTCACGGAGCTGAGCATGACCCGAAGCCGAATATATTCCTTGACTTGGGTCACGAACTTCTTAGCACCATTTCTAGCGTTGATAAGAAGTTGGTACTCTGCAACTGGGGGTTACAATCGTTGCTCTTTGAGATTTACATACATATGTAGTATTTTAGAAGCCAAAACATGCAAATTGTAGTCCGTAACTACATACATGCAGATCTTCTGCTATGAACATAGCAAATAGCTTGTCATAGGGTAGTCACCTTAGAGCAAAAGTTGCTAGGCCGACCACCTACACGGTTCAAGAGCCAAGACAATGTTTCAGCTTCCCACAGCGTGGTATTCTCCTTTCGTGTTCAACGAGAAGCTGAGAGGGGTGGCGATACCTGTCTTCCCAAAAAGAGGCTTCGTGGCTGCTAACTGGTTGACAACTGAAGTCAGCTCGGACACTTCCTTGACGAATGGCGTGTCAGGAATCGAGCTGGTAGACAATGGATCTCCGGCTTCGTCGGATCTATAGGTTCCCTCCAACACATTTGTCTCACGGCCTTGCACTTGACTGTATCCATCTTCACAACGTTCTAATCGCATAGCCTCTGGCTTCTTGATGTCAATACATTCATCGGAGGGCTAAGCGAGAGCATGGGGACAACTACAAGTACCGCAACGTTTCACTCCAATCTAGCGCCGATTAGCCGCCACAAGACCTGTCAAATTTGAGAGCGCCATGAAAACCGTTCGTTAATAGGGATTCATTGCTCTTGGCCAGATCCACAGATGATGTTATGCGAGCCACCGTGCTTAGGGCTATCAGGGGTGTAAGAAAAGTACTATAAACGGCATTTCGTAGGTAGGTAGACTAGAGAGAGGGCGAATTCAAGAGAGCTCATTGTTTGATTGATTTGTTTCGGCTTTTGAGGCCAGTCTTTTCAGCTAAGAGCCTGTTGTGAATGCTTATTCGAGGAATGAGTGAGGGATCAAATCCTTGCGAGAGCAAACAATGCCAGCGTAGTATGACGACGAGCATTGTGATACAAAACAAAGCTTTGTGTGAAGCAAGCAATAATACCCAAACCCTGTTGGATAAGTCATCGCCTGAAGACGGAAGCCGGGCCAGTAAAACCGATTAACGTCGCCGTTAATTAGCAGGGGTTGGATTGAGCCACAATCAGTTATGCAGCCTGTTGGCGATTGTAAGCCAAGCCGGTAGCGGCGAAGCGCCATGTCTTTCGATTCTTCGAATCATTGGAATGGATTGCCTAGTGGGAAACCCCTGGGCTGTGAAAGAAGCACCGCGGCTTTTGATTGTGCGGGTACAGTATTGACTCGAAAAAAGAGTCGTTGTCAGTTCGTGACGGCATTCCTCCATTCCATCAAGCGCTTCGCTTCCGTGGAACCTCCTCGTGCCGAGTCGCTTGTTTTCTTTCGCGGCATAGACAAAACCCTTTGACAGAACAGGGCCCGTACATGACAGCATTATTAAGGCCAAGGGCCCTACAATACAGGCATTGATTCCCCTTAAGTCCTCCATCCAGTGTCATAATTTATCCCGAGCGACAGGGGTTGGGGTTCAAGTAAGGTACCCGCATGCAGACTGGTACCTGGACGACCCCACTCAGAGTAACCTAGAAAACGGCCCTAAACGACAAGCCACTGGAGATTTAGCGCTCTTGCTCCACAAGCTTCCATTGAAGAACAACTGGACCTGACTGTATGGATGGAAACCACATGCACTTGGGGGCAGGTCACGTTGGAGGTTGGAGGCAACCTGACCTGCCTCTTCATGGATACCTTGAGCTCTTCCGTTTCGGATGAACCAAGCATAAAGGGTATCCCCCGTCCACTTGAAGGGTACTAATGCTTCTCCTCAAATGAGCACTCCTTTGCAAAAACTGAGGTTACCTTATTCGATATTCCTTTTGCGCCACTTCTGGTACCTCCTGTCCTGACTTTCACTTTCTTGTATCGCAGACGAACTTGGTCTCTTTGACAGCTTTGTACCATATCTTACCAGCTACTCGCAGACTCGAGGACACAATTACCCTTCTCTCATTATCTGTTGAGTCCTTTTTTGGCCGGGATTATCGACAACTTGCCATCCTTTCTCTTGCAGTACTTCCACGATCTGGGCCGCCGATCACACACTTATTGGAAACCCTGTTGCTGAGGCTGCGGCACGCCATGCGACAGTGATTGAAACTCATTCTGCGCCGACCGATACTCAGAGCCTACAGCTTCTTTTGATTTCTGGTTCTGCAACCATTTGCATTATACGACAACCCAGACACAAAGTTTGTTCGTGTCGCCAACGGTCGAACCACACCTATGGCATACGAAGGCGGCTATGGTGGTCAACAGCGACCTTACGGGAGCCAAGCACCACCTAGGCATGCCCCGCGACAACAAGCCAATGCGCCGCCACAACAGTATGGAGCATCACAACAGTATGACGAGTATCACCAAGACTATGGGTATGGCTCTGGACAGGATTTTGGAGGTCAACGTCAAGACCAGAATTATGGTAGAGGACCGCCTCCACAAGACCAATATGGGCGCGGTGGTAGCGTGATACCCGGTCCTCGCGGAGCGCCCATTCCTCGTCCACAGACAGCTGATCCGCATCGTGGGCAACAGCGCCCTCCTCGAGGAGGCCCGATGCCAGGACCAGGCAGAGGCATTCCTAATGGACACCCCGGGCAAGGCGGAATACGTCCAGGACCATATGCGTCGAATTCAGATCCCGCAGGTGAGTTTCAACCCTGATACTATGACTCTCAGCTTATAATCGCATGCAAAGCCCGCCGCCATCCTATGAACACGCCTCCTATGAGCCCTCGAGACGGGCATTTCGGACAAAAGCACGTGCCACAAGAGCGTGGACGAAGGCCAGACATGCCTTATGAGCAGCAGATGGTTGATCAAATGTCGCATATGGACATGAACCAGAGACCGATGGTGCCAACTAATGGACGTTCAAGTTCCGATGCCCAACGCAACCAGGGCGAATATGGAAGACCACCAGTGAATGCGGGTCGCGGACCCCCTCCGAGAGGTTATCCTCAAGGAGGTCCTCCACGGCAGAACCCAGGCCACGGAGCTCCGGATGGCTATGGAAACTATAACGATGGATATAACGGTGCTCGAGAGCCTCCCGTAGGTGGCTTTGGCCCACCGGCACGCAGCAGAACGATGCCTGTGGATGATGTGCGACAAAGAGGCAACATGCCACCACCTCAACGGATGGACGCAATGCAATATAGCACTCCCGCTGGCCGAGGGATACCACAAAGACCTTCGACTGCTGGCGGTCACCGGGCACCTCCCCAAAGGTCGTACACAGCTGGGCCACAAGGAGGCCCGGGGGGCCACTATACTGGGGAGTATGATGGTCAAAATGCATACCATAAACCATCAACGGCTTCTTATGACGAAGTTTACGATACCTATTTCGACAATCAACGCAACAGCCACCCTGAATACGGGTCAGAATCCCAGCACAATCGAACCAGCCTACCGGACTTCGATGCTGCACCAGCTCCAGGGCAACGTAGTTCGTTCGAACAGTCAATGCGCCCTAGCAATGAACAGCCTCAGCGAGGAGCCCACCAAACAGCCGTCCTTAATCACGCCAAGTCACAACCGGTCCTTCGTCAACCTCAAACAGCTGTGTTTGAGATGGCTGGCGATGTGCCAGATGTCCCCGCAGTCCCACCGGTTCCACCGATGAGCAACTACCAGACTGCGTATGATCAGGATTATAACCAAATACCGACCAGAGGACCTAGTGCACCAGCAGCTATGAATGGTGCTCGTACTAGTGGACCCATGAATGCGGATGGCCTTCCTTCACATCCTGCTCCTATCCGACCGGGTCTTATGCAAGATTCAATGGTTCATCTGGGTAATAAGCCAGCTCCCGTTAGAAATTACGGAGTCCCTACGCCGGCGCCGGCG